ACATATATACATGTAAGTAGATATCCACACACATAAAATAAAATAAAACTTTTTCAAAAAGTATTAGGTATTATGTCACAATTAAAAAGGAACTGCTGACAGAATGTTAGGATGATGTGGCATAACAACAATACCAAAAATCGAGGATGGGTTGGGGTGATAGCTCAGTTTGTAAAAGTAGATTGCCTTATAAGCAGGAGGACATGAGTTCGAGCCCCCAGGATCTAGGAAAATTCACATGTGATGGAGTACATTTATAATCCCAACACAGGGAAGCAGAGAAAGGTGGATGCCTGGGCCTTACTGGCCAGCCAGCCAAGCCTATTTGGAGAGTTCCAGGACAGTGAGAGACCCTGACTCAGAAAACAAGAAATGAGCACCTGTGCAACAGGCACTCATGCATACATATGTATAATTGAAAACACACACACACACACACACACACACACACACACACACACACACAAACACACACACAGTGAAATACATGGTATCAAGATGAAGAAAAATCCACAATGATTTCAAATGATACAGAAAAAGCATTTCACAAAATTCAATATCCTGTCGTGATAAAAACTCAATAAATTAAAAGTAGAAGTAAAGACAAAAACACAAAAGTCTACAATACTCAGTGAATAAAGACAAAGCCTTTTCTTTAAAGCCAAGAAAACAAGAATGTCCATTTTCATCACTTGTATTCAACGTTCTACTAGAAATTCTAACAATCAGGCAAGAAGAGGAAGTAAGGTATCCAAATAGGAAGGAAGAGATAAAATTACCTGTTCCATTTGCTCATACTAAAGAACAATGATCTTAAATGGACATTAAGAAAATTATTCAATTTAGAATAACATCACAAAGAATTAAAACACTTAGGAATAAATTCAACCACGGACTTCAAATGGAAAGACATTTTCTGGTTGAGGACCAGAATACTTATAATTGTTAAAACTCAGTACTACTTCAAATGGCAGATTTAAAACAATCTGTTAAAAATCCATTGATGGCTACAGAGTAGTCACCCTAGAATTCATATAAAACCTCAAGGAACCCCAGATAGCCAAAACAATACCGAATAGAAAAGCAGAGGGGACAAGAAGATGGTTCTTCAGGTAAGTGTCTGCTGTGCAAGCCTGATGACCACAGAACTCAGGCCGAAGAACCTACTCCCAAAAGTCATCCTCTGACTTCCACATGCAGCTGTGGCATATGCCTGCACACATCCATACAATTTTTTCTCTTAATTTCAAGGAACCCCAAACAACCAAAACAATGTTGAAAAGTGAATAGATCATATATTACTTCAGAATTTACTATGAAGCTCCAGTAGCCAAAACAGTATCATGGGTTTAGAAAGAACAAAACATCAAAAGGAATGAAGTAAAATACAGAAATAAACCCTCATACAGACAGCCAAATCAGTTTTGAGAAGGGATCCAGAGCCATCAATGCGGAAGGGACAATCTTTTCAACAAATGATGTAAGGAAATCCATATTCCTAAGAATAAAAGCAGACCCTTTTATAACAATTATCTCAAAAATGGATCAAAATCTTTTTTACATAGCTCTTACATAAAGCTATGTAACTCATTTGGTGATACCACAGCATAGGAAATAAGTTACATCAAAATTAAAATTACTTTTGTACCAAAGAACATGATCAAGAGTCAAAAGGACAGGAGAGACTATTTGTAAATCATGCATCTGACAAGGCATTTATACATGTATATCTAAAAAGGCTGGTAAGATAATTCAGTGGTCAAAGTGCTTGCTGCAAGTCTTGTAACCTGTTCATCCTTAGAATCTACGTAAAAGTGGAAGGCAAGAACTCCATAAACTCATGATTTTCCATAAGCATACCATGGTACAGGTGTCCCCATTCATAATAAATTAAAAAGTGGGTTCCTAGAATAGTCTAAATAAGAGGCAGAAAGCAGAATGAAGTTGTCAAGAGCTGGAAGAAGCTAAGGGTTTTGTTTGTTCATTTTGAGGCAGGATTTTTGCAGACTTAGCTGTCCTGGAGCTCACTATATAGACTAAGATGGCTTTGAACTCAGAGCTCCTCCTGCCTCTGCCTCCTTAGTGCTGGGATTAAAGGTGCATGACACCATGCCCAGCCTACAGCTAAATTGTGTTAAGACGAAGATTTCTGGAGATGGCTTTTCACAATATGAATTCAGCCAATGCACCTCAACTGTATAGTTCAGATACAAATCTTTTACCAAAATGAAAATATTTTACAAAAAAACCTGAGTGACTAGGCAACATTCCATACAAGAGGTCAAAATTAACATGGCCAGTCCTGAGACAAACTGTCCAGGCTGGCTTTATACTTATTAGGTAGCCAGGTGTCTGTGGTGCATGCCAAGCAAGCATTCTACCAACAGAGCTGCATTATTCAGGCCCTAAAAACCATGTTATGCTTAGATATCTGGAGCTTAAGAGGAAAGCTTGCCTATAAGCTACTCACATGGGCTGCAAAAGAAATCATAGAGAGAACATAATGAAAGTGGCAGGACGGGAAATGTTGACGAGTATTATTATATGGGAGCTATTTCGGTATTCTGAAGATTCAGTAAATAGGAATTAAAAAGGCAATGGGTCAGGCTTGGGACGCCCCTAAAAAAGACACACAGCAAAGATAATTTAAACTTAGTAATTTCTCTTTAAACAGTGTAGAACCTCCCATCCCCTCGAACTCCAGGGTATGGTTTCATCACTTGCTTGCTGTATTTACCTTACCTAACACTGTGGTAAGTGGAGCTCATCCCAAGACACCAAAACTTGAATAATTCTCAAAATCCTCCTGTTCATGTTTAGAACTGATTTGTGGTTCATTATATACTCTTTATCACTTTTAGCTAATGGAATCAAACAATGCTAGGGGTGGTCTGCCTCCACCTAGTGCTGAGCTGCTTTGTGAGTCCTTCTGCGTCAGCCCACCTGCTCTCCTATGCAGAGTACTCATGGGCTTTGACAGGCTCTTCCCCACCCCCAACCCCATTTTGGGTTTTTGAAGACAGGGTCTCTCTGTGTAGTGCTGGCTGTCCTGGAACTCTCTATGTACACCAGGCTGGGATTAAAGGCATGAATCATAGGGCCTGGCTTTAAGATTTTACTTTTCTGGTTGTGAGCCTCGCCTTTAACGGCTGAGTCATGTGTGTGCAGGTGCAGAGGCCAGAGGAGGGTGCTGGATCCCCTAATGCTGGAATTGCAGGCAACTGTGAGCTGTTCAACATGGGTGTTAGGAATAGGTCCTCTGCAAGAACAGCAAGTGCTCTTTATCACTGAGTCCTTTCTTCTAGCCCCCCTTTTTTATTGGGGGAGGGGGTTCAAGACACGGTTTCTCTGTATAGCTCTGGCTGTCCTAAAACTCTTTATGTAGACCAAGTTGGCCTTGAACTCAGAGATCTTCCTGCCTCTGCCTCCCAGTGCTGGGATTAAAAGTGTGCACCACCACACCTGGCTTGAGAGGTTCTTACAGAGTTTTAGTCCATGAAATCCACATTCCTTCAACTGTCCAGAGGTCAGTTTTTTTTTACATTAATTTTACATTAATTACAAAAAGGATTTTTTTGTAATTAATGGGTTACTGATAAAACTTCCTTGATCTACAGAAATCTCTCATGATTTTTAAGAATTCTAAAAATTGAACAAGAAACCCAAACTGTGTTTCTCCCTTTTCTATTTGCCCAATTGCTATATGTAACTGAGTAACTTTCAATTTAAGAGTTTCTTAACCTTTTCTTTCCACGGCTTAACTCCCAAGATTAAAAAAAAAAATCCCTACTAAGAGAAACAAGAAGTAAGTTTGTTGTACTTCAACCCCAACTGGGATACCATAATCTTTATTTGAACAGGGTCTTGCTACGTGTCAGGCTGGTGGGGGAACTTCCAATCCTCCTGCCTCTACTTCCAGCGGGCTACACAATTCAATTCTGATACCAAATGCTCAGGGTTAATGTAAGAATCCACAGTGCTAGGAATCAGGCTTCCTCCACAAGACTGCCTCGACCTCAGACATGAGCTGCAAGTCCTATCTTCAGGCCATCAACATTCCAGGATGGCTGTAAAGTGGGACGTTCCCAAGAACTTCTTGGTTTAACAGTTTGCTGAAAGATTCGCATAACTCAGAAAAGTACTATGTCTTTCAATAAAAAATTGTAGTTATGACCAGTCTTACTAAAAAAGACACAAATTCGGCCAACCGGGTCAATGAAAATTCAGGAGTGGTCTAGAGGGTGATGCAGAGCTTCTGTGCCCTTGCTCTCCTGGCACATCAACACAGTTGCAGTGTCCAGAGCATTTAAGTCTTGCCATGTAATCCAGGCCAGCCTCAGACTCATGATCCTCAGTTCGACATCAGTCTCCCAAATGTTGGAATTACAAGCGTGCACGGCACCTGGCTCGTCCAGAGTTCTTTACTGGGGCCTCACTACAAAGGCATGATTGACTAATCAAACAGGCAATGTGACTACCCCAAGCGTATTTCTGGTGACCAGCCTCCACCACAGAGCAATCTCAGGGGCCTACAATGAACCAAATCAAGAGTATAACAAAGATATTTCAAGAACCCTAAGGGTTTGAGATATTCCTTGTTGGGAGCCTGGGATAAAGCCCAGACAAATTCCTCGTCATATCACACACAACAGAAAGGACTGTTTTTTTTTGTCCTCACAGAGAATTTCTCTAAGACAATGATGAGACAACCCCCCAAAACCAGAATGAAATTTTATTACGTACAGTTTATAGAAGCAGGAGTAGTACTCTTCTGTACAAAGTAGACAACAACTGGTCTTAAATACAACGGAGAAAAACGTTAGTCCTACGACCACAGGTAGAGACACACTAAAACATTGAAAAGTATCTTCTTTCTTGATAGTCCATTGTGCATTTTTTAGAGATGGGGATGTGTCCCAGGCAAGGTCACAATGGCATTTTATTGCCTTCGATGCTGATTTTCACTGCATGTGCAGATCTGCTTTTTTTCCTGATATCTGTGAACTTTCTCATCTGTTTATCCAGTCGACTGATACCTTTCTTGGAGGTTGCCTGAAACTAAGATTGGGGAAAATTGAAGAACAAATTATTGAAATATGTAAACCTAGCAGTCAGAGAGCCTGAAGCTTAACAATAACCAGAACATACTTTGGTGACCAGCAGAACAGAGCAAGCGTTTAAAAAAAAAAACAAAAAACTATCGACCTCTCAGTGATGACAACTGGTTGTGTTGTTGTCTATGCTTTATTTTTAATTTTGTCACAGCCCATAGAAAGTTCTAGATGACAGAATTTCATCAATGACATCTGACTATATGTGCTAACTACTTGACATATGACTTTAAACAGTGCTGGTACTAAAAAACACAAAGAAAAGTCATTAGAGAAAGACTTTAAACATAACCAACACAGGCAAATCTTGAGGTGCTGAAGTTCTAGATTCAGCCTTGGGGTGAGTCTCTGCTCTGCTTCAGCAGGATCCAGAATCCTATGCAAACTATACCTGGTGGTCTCTACTACTAACAGGACATCTCCTACTTGCTTTTACAGTTAAAGGCTTAATTGAGGTTTTTTGTTGTTGTTTTGCTTTATTAAAACATATATTTAAAAAATATTTTGAATATTGCATGTCTTATATGTGGTTCCCAAGGACCTGACAGCTTTTATAAAATAAATCTGGAAAAGTCTATCACTGATGTCAAAGACCAGTGTGAGTTCTTGCTAACTGTAGCTAAAAATTCAGATGTTGAGAATGGTGAGTGTGGTGGTTTGAATGAGAATGGCACCCACAGGTTCATGTATTTGAATGCTTGGTCACCAGGAAGTGGAACTGTTTGAAAGGATTATAAGGATTGGGAGGCGTGGCCTTACTGGAGGAAGAAGTGTGTCACTGCAGGGGGGTTCTGAGGTTTCCAAAGCCCATGCCAGGCCCAGATTCTCTCTTTGCCTGTGGATTAGGATCTACCTCTCAGCTATGCTCCAGTGCCATGAGTGCCACCATGTAAGCAAGCCCCTAATTAATTGCCTTCTTTTACAAGAGTTGCCTAGGTCTTGGTGTCTCTTCACAGCAACAGAAGAGTGACCTTCCCTGCTGGCGACATTGCCATGAAGGCTGGTGTGGGTTATGGGGCAGTGGGGAAAGAGGAGAAACAGTCATCCACGGCATTATCCATCAGTAAACCTGAGTGCTACAATACCGACTTGCCACTGGTGCAATAACGGCATGACTATCTTTCTCAGAACCACTTTCTCAGTCCATCTGAGAGAATTTATTCGTGGTACTGTAAACCCGACCAAAACCCACAGCTTGGGAGGCCATATGCCCTAGGAGGGGAATCTATTACTATTGTGTTGCTACACTGTCATGTTGTCAAAGTGCCTTTAAACATCCATGGTTATACTCTTAACATTAGTCCTGCTCTCAGTCTTGGTCAGAGAAGCTTTTTTCTACAGTGGGCATTAGTTAATGTAGTGACTCATAATTAGTCAAAATGCTGAGAATGAGTGACTGTTCAGTCGTTAGCCATATAATAGATAACTGTATCAACACCCCTAAGGCTCAGGGAACACAGAGGAAGAGGGGTGGAAAGAATGTTAAGAGCCAAAAGATGGGGAGGAGTGCTGTGAAATGCTGTCTTGTGGACATGACATGAGCGTTGTATTCATTCATGAGCTCATTGCAGCTATGGTTACCTGCCCAAGATTACGCCAATAGGATCAGCCAGCATTCCAGCAGATAGCAGAAACTGGACTCAATGACTTACAAAAACTATATATAAATTGGGGATAGTGAGATGGCTCAGCAGGTAAAGACACTTTCTGCCAAGCCTGATGACCTGAGTTTGATTCTCAGAACCTAAGTGGTAGAAGCAGGGAACCAACTCCTAAGAGTTGTACTCTGACATCCAGAGGTACATTGTGGCACACACACCCATACATGTGCAAGCACATGCACAAACAAGGAAATTAAAAACCAAAACTAAAAATCTACAGAAGGAGAAGATATGAATGCAGGAAAGGTGTATGGGTACCCAGAAAGACAAGGGAGAGGATATTGGGGGGTTGGGGTGGGGGGAGGAAGATGTTTTGTGTACATGTATGAATTGGCAAAGAATATTACAAAATAAAAAAGAATGGTGAATGACTAGTGACAGGTGTTTTTCTTTTACTTCTCCCCAAATATTTACTACTAAATCACCTCCAAAGTTATAGTCTCAGAAACACCAAAGAAGGTAAGCTAAAGACTCTCCTGAAGTTGTGTACTATGAGCCTTCTTAGTCCACTCAAGGTCTCAGCCTCACCCTAATATGAAGCTATTTCTTTACCAGTCAAGGAACCAGCTTTCTATGGCATTCTTGAAGTTTTCTAGGAATATCCCATTTCCACATTATTCAATAGTTGGCACTGGTACTCTCAGCATAAAAATTCACTGTCAGATGAGAAAATGTTGCATTACCAGTATAACATCCCTTTAATTTTTGTACAAGGAGTTGGAGGCCTTACTGCTCCAATCTCTGACAATTACCCGGCTCCCTGAAGCTCTACATACCAAGCTGGACTTCTCTTTGCTCACTCCTAGGATCTTCTCTAACAGCTTGAACCCTACAGGATCTGTTTGGCATCAGCACCAAGGACACACCAGGCTAGTGCCAGACTACATCTGCTCACTGCATATATGTAACCTGCAAAGTTGCTCAATGATCTAAGGTTCATTACAGACATCCAGTACCTAACACGTCAAATCCAATGATCTTCATTTCCTGATTCATCAGTTCTGTAACATTCCTTTGGATGTTAGGAAAGCCATAATGTTTTTATCAAGAGGAAAAAAAAAAAGCCTGTAGAAGACTAGCAAGGAATGTCTGCTAAAAACACAAAACAAAAATGGGGGGGGGTGGTTTACAACTATATGACAACACATTAAGTCACTAAGAATGGGAGTCAAATGGTTTTTTGTCATGTTAAGTTAAAACCAAACCTTTAAACTCAAGTTATAAGAGTATGATCACATTGCAGACTGAAATTTTTAAAAAGGCTAATGTTCATGCATGCATAAAAAGGAGCAAAAAGCTATAATCCAAAATGTAAACTTATATTGAGAGTATGTTATATTAATTTTATTTGTAATGCCTGCATTTTAAAACTTTAGATAAAAATATGCATTGCCTCTGCCATTTTTCTTTTTTTTTTTTGTAAATAGTTCCAGCATTCAGAGGCAGATAGGGGTCTCTGTGAGTTTGAGGCCAGCGTGCTCTACATAGCAAATTTTGGGCCAGCTAAAATTTTGTATCTCAAAATAAAGAAGTTTTAAAAATCAGAAATAAACAAATTAGTACATAGTCACATAAATCACAAAGACTATTACACTTAAAAAGTATAAATCTCCAATGTGGATTAATGAGAAATGAACAAAATGATATGTCAGTCTGGCTGGTAGAGCTACATTTTGGCCTAGATAAAAACCAGTAAATTATGACTGGAAATATAGGAAGGAAGCTCTCTCTTACACTGGAGAAAAATGACAGATAGCTCTCCTACCCCTGAGGATATGGGCTCACAGCCAGCCACAACAGTAGATGGGCACACAGCCCCTAGAAACATGGAGTCTGCTTCCAGAGCAGACTGGCCACCAAATTTTTATTACATTTTTGTGGCTACACTGTCATTTCCAATTTTCAAAAACAAAAGAACTAGGAAAGGAAATATGAATGAAGTAGCTAAAATGAGGGAGGGTACAGTGAGAAAATATAAAGCTAAAAAAACAAACAGTTGCCAGGCGGTGGTAGCACACACCTTTAATCCCAGCACTCGGAAGGTAGAGGCAGGCGGATCTCTGTGAGTTCAAGGCCAGCCTGGGCTAGAGTGAGTTCCAGGAAAGGTGCAAAGCTACATAGAAAATCCGTCTTGGAAAAAAAAATGTTAATAAAGGGATAGCAAGGAGAAATGAACACTGATTTAGATATGGAACAAACCAGAAAAAAGGGAAGTACAAGTAGAGGAAGATGTCCTCTGCGTAAAACTAAGTCCTTTACTTGTTTATAGTTAATTGCACATCACAGCAATGTCAAGTGGCAGCACATGAGTGGACTGAAGGAAGCTAAGGGAGAAGCACAAAAAGCAGCAGCAGACACTGCACCCAGCATCAAGCTGTCACTCCGGCCTTAGTGTCAGCGGCTTATGGCCAGGTGATGGATACCTGTGCATCTGCATGCCCAGCAAAATGTTTTATATAAAGAATTCTTGACAAATGCTATAGGAAAAGTCACTTCCCATCCACAAAAAATCCACTAAGCAGTTTGTATGCCTGTAATGCAGACTAAGATTCTTGGCCCAAATAAAAAGGCTTTTTTTCAGGCAGGCAGTAGTGGTGCACACCTTTAATCCCAGCACTCAGGAAACAGAGGCAGACAGATCTCCAAGCTCAAGGCCTGCCTGGTCTACAGAGTGAGTTCGAGGATAGTCAAGACTACACAGAGAAACCCTGTCACAAAAAAACCAAACAAATTTTTAAGGACTTTTTCATAAAAATAGGTAACAATCAGGAAAAATATAATGTTTACTGGGAAAGTAATGATCTATTAGTCTCTAGGATCCTGACATAGAAGGGGACCTCAGTGTGAACTCCTAAGGATTCAGAGGCCTTAATGTCTTAGAATGCTGCCCAAGAGCATTAATTCAGAAGCTGAATTCAGGCCAGGCCTTTTCTGGCTAAGAAAGCACATACTCTCTTGGCAATTCAAGCCCATGCATAGCTCATGCTTCCTTGGGAATACCTCTTGTATACACTCTGGCAGGGCCAGGACTACAGGGGCATTCTGTTGCCTTCAATGCTGAACTTGACAGCACGGTGCATTTTGCTGAGCCTCTTCTGTTCTGCAAACCGCCTCTTATGCTTTTCCAAACGACTTAGGCCCTTTTTAAGAATACCAGGCTAGAGAGAGTGGTTTGATGGGAGAAAAAGATTACCAAGAAACAGCATTTGGGTAATGTCTTCACTGATGACAGGGCAAGTGTTTATTCTGACAATTTCACAACAAACGTTTCAGCAGATGGAGAGAAAGAGAGAGAAGGCTCTGAGAAAGCAGATAAACTTTATTTCTCATGATTCTTTAAGTGAATGAATACCTAAAAGATCCTAAGACAGATCTTGTGAATGAAATAAACCATAACTGCTACACACATTATTAAACATAAAGAAAGGGGAAAATTCAAATGGTTTTGCTCTTCCTCTGCTCACTCACCCTGGATGACTCCATTTCTACATTCCACTTGGGCCTGACGACATAGTCCTTGTTTGACGGCATTGGAACTCTAGCACGGGCACAGAAGCCAGGATCTCCAGGTCTAAGAGCCCTGAGGAAGGGAAGAAAAACTAATTATTTAGCTGGCCACAGGAGTCTAAGCGAGATTTCACCCTTGTAAACCCAGGCCCATCACATTCAGCTGCAATGTTTCAATCCCGTCATCCCACCATCATACTGCTAGTGTGTGAACTACTCACTCTTCAATGCCAATTCCCTTTTTATATGAATTCTTGCTTCTCCTTGGCTTCAGATGTAATCATGCCCTGTCCTTTCCAAGGCTAGTCTCAAGAAAACTTTGTTTTTAAATTTCTATATATGAGCATTTGTCTTCATATATGTACATGTACTACTAGAAAAGGAAGTCAGGTCCCTTGGAACTGGAGTTACAGACCGTGTGAACCACAATGTGAGAGCTGGCAACCAACCGTAGGTCCTCTGCAATAACAGCAAGCGCTCTTGAGCCATCTCTCCAACGCAAATACTCTAAATCCTAAGTTCTCTAACCTAGTCTCAAGAGTCACTAGGCGATGAGGAAAAATTAGGTTGTCTAAATGACAACCTAATGGAGAAAACTTTTTGAGGTCACTACAAATTCCCTTGCAGTTATAAGAAGTAATCGAGACCCCAGTGTCTCTCTCAATAGTAACAACTTTCCAAAATATAGTGTATCACAGTGAGGACACTGACACTTTTATCTCCTTCACATTTCTCAGTTTTTCTTGTACTCATTCATGCTTATATTCAGACAACATTGAAAATAACCATGCCACACTAAGATTACAATTCTTAGTAAGTAGGGCCCTTCTGTCAGTGCCTGGGCATTTAAGCCATTCAATCTTTAGGAACTCCCCCTAATGTATGGAGAGCAGACTTATACCTGCTGGGAGTAGGGAGCAAACATCTATCCTCTTACCTCCAGGCTCTGTCCCAGCGAATAAGAACACATCTTCTCTACTGGCTCTTGGCTACACTCCTCTGCCAAACTGCTTAGTTCACTTCTTATTCTAGGCTCTAAATCGAATATTCCCCTCAGCTATGGAGATAACCATCAAATCTGTGTCGTGTCTAGCATGACAAGACCCCATGGTGTTGAAGAGTATCTCATTAAATATCTCACTCACAGTGAATAGCTTGAAAAAATAACTTACTACTGATTTCTTCAAATCTACTTACCCTTAGTTTTAGTGATCAGTAGTATCACTGTCTCCATACTCCGGTTTAAATATTTGGTTAGAATCTTCAATTGTAAGCCAACTTCTCCCTAAACATGTCACCAACTCTAAGCACTGCCTCTAGAATGTCTTCTCAGCCTTCTGCTACCCTCTGACTAACCCCATTTAGCTGTATCACTGCCTTCAGCCCACTGCTCTAGCTGTCCAAACAATGCCTTCTAATCAAATGTGACAGTTTCTCACAAAGGCTCAAAACCTTCTGCTGAATTATAAAGAGAAGCAAACCTTCCACAGCCTGACCCTGGGCTCCTGCTGGTCCACACCTGCATCTCCAGGACTGTCTCTTACCACACCTGTCACCTCACACTGCCGCTGCTTCAGCACCCCCGCCATTCTGAAACCAGGATGGCACATGTGCCTACAAATCTTGGTCTATCTCCCTTCATGAAACTATACGTGACAACACGGGAAATTTTTAAGTTTCTTTTGTATTCTTTAAGCTTTAAATTAAAAGAATTCTATTACTTAGCAAGCAGCCACTAAATACTTGTTAAGTGAACTATTAATTTTTCAGAGCACCCAATATAAATTGAAAAAAATCACCCTTTATCAATGGGAACACATAATTTAATACTGTTCTTACAATGAAGTAAAACCAGAGATCCTCTATACATGCTAAGGAAAATCAAGGCAAAACTCTTACTTTTCCTCTCCTGTCAGCACCTTCTCCAAGTCTCTTCGCGGTGTCTGACCACCAGTGCTGGGAAAAGAACAAACAGTGAGATACTGGGATCTTAAATCCTTACAACTAGGAAAAGCACATCCAACTATCAAATTCATACCAAGGTAAGTGCCTTTATATCGAATCACAGAAAACGTGTGTGCATGTGCGGGAGTGCAGTGGTGGTCAGAGGGTAACTTTCCTTCCTGACTTCACTTGGGTTCTTGGGATCACTCAGGTTGCCAGACTTGCACAGCAACTGCCTTTACCTTCTAAACTGTCTTGCTGGCCTGAAAACTTTTTTAAAGTACTGTTCACCTTAATACTCATTCATGAAGCAGGTTTCATTCTGGGTGATCTACACTAACTATACTTGTAACTGATAACCCTGCCCTCAAGGAAGTATCCAGAAAACTGAAAAATTGAACCAACATTTTTTCCCCCTAGGGTTTTGGAACTGGGACTGAGAAAGTTGTTTTCTGCAAATGGCTAGAACACTCCAATCTCTAGCACTCCAGCACTGTGTCCCAGAAAGGTCCTCCCCCACACACTACATGAGATTCCACGCGTGCATTCCTACCTGTTCCCTCATACCTGCTCAGTCTCCGTCGCTGAGGCATTTGCTCCAGGTCCCTCTGCTCCCTTTCTTCTCTTGTCATTCCTTTGTAGTTTGAGGTGAGACCAAATATAGGCCGAGACCACTCGTCTGCAGTAAGGAAAATAGTAATTATTTAGTCTACAAAACAGCATTTCTCCTGGGTTGTTAAATAATCACACCCTAGTACTGGGCAGGTATTACAGGCATTTATAGAGCATTCCTTTTTAAAATGTGGAGCACAAGAAGGAGGAAAACAAACCTAGAGTTCATAATCAATATGTACCTTCAGTTAGGACCTAGACTTCTCTGGCATAAACAGGTGCAACCCACAGCAACAATGGCTTTCTTGACAGTAGTGCTCTCTACATAGCCTCTCATTTAATCTTTATAATAACCCCAAAAAACAAAGAATTACTAAAACCTCTTTATTACAGAGGTGGAGGCCAAGCTTGAAGATTAAGTCACTAGCCGAGGATTTGCAGGAAGGCGGTGGAGTCAGGACTGTGAACTAGGCATGTTTAATCCCGGGGCCTGCATTTTCCTCTCCCCATGTTCTTGGTGCACAGCTAGAAGACATATGCTTTTAATTGCTGTAGTTAATACCGGAAAGCATATTTAAATAAACCTAAGAGAGAAAAGTTAGTACCTGTACATAGGCACTGAAACTCTTCTATTCCACTTTACTAAATCATTTTAAACAAACACTGGTAAAAATATAGTTTTTACACATGCACATCTCTTCCTCTATAGACAAATAAAAAGCAAACTTTACATACTGATTAATTTCCCTGCCATATCCTTGTTGGACCTTGATTCCTTGGGGTGTTTATACAGATACATCACTGCTCGTCCAATCCCACTATGCTTCAGGGTCTCCTGGCTCACACTAGGTAGCTGGGGAACAAAAGCATGCATATTAACATAAAACATGCACAATATTAACAAAATACATGCATATTAATTACTCAGGTGCTAGGAGGCATGCTAATTTAGAGATCTTCAAGGCCTTATTTGTTCACATTAGAACTAACACAAAATTCCATTTTCAGGATCTCTAAAGACATGGAACATCCTTTGTGTTGACATCAAAAGTCAAGATTTCAGTATTAGTGAAGTAAAATATAATAATGCAAGGAAATACCAACTATGAATACTTAAGAGGACAGCAGTTCTGCCCAGGCCTTGGAATCCAACATACCTAAGCCTGAATCTATGCACAACCGCCAGCTAGCTGCATGACCTTAGATAAATCATGTACCTTGTCTTAGTTTCCTCATCTACAAAATGGAGGCAATATCCCTATCTTACAAGTTTATTGTGAAAGACCAATAAGCCAATACAAACACAAAGCATCTAACACAGTGTTTGACACACAGAGGTTCTTTCAAGTTTCTTCAGATGTTAAGCAGGGTATCCTAATCATACAAAAAGGGAACCCAATTAGAGATTCCAATTCAAGTTTATAATCTCTAAATGTAGTACACTTTCTACTTCAATTACCTCTCTACATGCTCACTACTGGACTGCTCTGCCAAGAAACCCATGGCTACACTAAGAACTCTTTCCTTGAAAACTGTCATTAACCAAATTTTACAAGGTTTTTCTTTTTATGTTCATTTTATTATGTATGGTCTCTTTTCCCAAAACCCCCTTTCTGGCAGACTGTAGCTACACAAATTTATAAGGAAATGGTACAAAATACAGGTCTTGACCACAGAAAAGCAACACATTAGATATTTAATGAATTAGGTCATCTGTGCTAACCTCTTGCAGAATCTTCAACAGTTCCTCCCGAATCTTCAGTGCAGGCAAACTCCTATCTGGTAGAGGTGAGAGCCATTCTTTGATGGCAGACATCACGCCACTGTCAATAAATGTTTCTTTAAGGTCCTGCCTGAAATAATGACGACAAATGTGATAATAATGCCAAGTCTATCACCCTCTGAGTTTACTTACATAGTGATGTTTCAAAAAACACTGCTTTAAAAAAATTATTTATATACTCAATATTTACTCAACCCCTTTCCTAGTTTCAAAAGCAGCATGAAAGTTAGCTTACACTTCAAAGGTAACTCACTAAGATATGCAGGTTTTACAAAACAGATTAAAACTGGTATCAATGATACAGATAGTCAAAAAAAGAGCCCAATTATTACAACTTAAAAAAAAAAAAAGAGGCTGGAGAGATGGCTCAGCAGTTAAGAGCACGGGTTGCTCTTCTAGAGGTCCTGAGTTCAATTCCCAGCACCCACATGGCAGCTCACACCTGTCTGTAACTCCAGTTCCAGGGGATTTGACACCCTCACACTAATGTCCATAAAGTAGAATTAAATAAATTATTAAAAAAAAAAAAAAACACACAACCTATAGTTCATTTCAGAGTGGGGAAAACAGAATTGTGCTGTTCTCTGACAGAAAACAAGGAAAATATAGTTTTCCTAGCAGGGGGAACAATATTTCAATCGAATACCATATTTAAATTCTGCTTTATGCAATGGAATGAATTAGAAAATTTGGCGATGGAGAAGTTTTCTAGTTGGATCCCCAGTGTGCTAAGGCATTTCTTCAACTATCAAAACAAGGCTGTGACTTTATAGAGAATTGTCCAACAAGGACTTGTGAAGACTGCCATTAAAGAAGAGCAATGACTGAGGAACAGGGTCAGATAAATCTACAGCACAGACAAGCTGCAAGCAATAGCTCCCAAGGCTTGCTGTTTCCTACTACCTTGGGAAAAATACATAAAGTTTACAAGGTCTCAATTGTCTATAAATGATAAAATTAGTAAATTTCCAGGTTTTCTTTAATAGAACCAGTTTTCTGTTTGTTCAAAAAGCACTAAGGCTTAAGAAAAATTCATGAACTGGGTGGTGGCAGAGCATGCCTTTAATCACAGCCCTCAGGAGGCAGAGGTGGGCAGATATCTGTGAGTTTGAAGTCAGTCTGGAAGTTCTAGGACAGCCAGGGCTACATAGAGAGATCTTGTCTCAAAAAACAAAGATTTATGAAGAACCATAATTGAGGAAAATTTACTCATCTCTAATTTTCTGTGGTCCAACAGAAGGCCATAATTATTCAATAGTTCTAAAACAATAGTGTACAGGTTGAATATAATTTTATAGGTCAGAATTTGTTTGCTTTCTTCTTGTTATTTTTCTCTTTGTAGCCTTGGTCGCCCAGGAACTCACTCTATAGATTAGACTGGCCTCAAAATCAGAGATCTACCTGTCTCTGCCTCCCGAGTGCTGGGATTAAAGGAGTGCATGCACCACCATCATCCAACTTGAATATCATTTTATTAAAAGGAAATTTTTTTTTCCCAAGAAAACAAAATACTTACTTTTTAAGGTGCATAACCACAGTAGGCAATAAAGTTAATTTTTTCAGTGCTGGCTTTTTTTGATTATTCAATTGCCTGTCTTCCTATTCAGAAAACAGAACACCCCCCCACAAAAAAAGGGTTTAAAATAAAGCAGCATTACTCTTAATATGCAATTATAACAACCACTACAATTCTGAACCTCAAAATAGTTATTCAAAGAAAGTATAATTTTCCTGAAAGAAAAGGATGAGCTATTTTACACAAAGCCAAACTCCTTATCTGTCTAGTCAATGAAACCCATAGTTACATTGTTTTTTAACTATCAGAACAGAGAGGGACGATTTCATTGATAGTACTGACAAGTCTTCAAGGTTTTGGAATTCACTCAAGGAACAAAATACAGCTGGGAAAGTCTGCTTTATCGTCAAGAATTATCTTTCCATAAGTAGGAGGGTAGGACCTATTGCCAAAAATATTACTTGGGTAATTTCTACTTTTTTTTAAAATCATAAAACACTATATTCTACAAATATACAACAGCGTATCCAATGTTCATTTCAACAAACAAACACAGGGTTGGTCTTCATTTAACTATACGTCTACCTATTTCTCCCTTCACCCTTGAACTGTTTCAAATAAATACAAGACAAATCATCAAAACACTGGGCTATCTCAGCAAGGGGCTGGTGGTGAAGCTCAGTCATCGAGCATTTGCCTTTGGCGGCCAAGTGCCTGGGTTCAGTCCCCAGCGCCTCAAAACAAAAAACAAAAGTACCTCTGCAAGTGTTTCTCAAGGATCAGAATTTAGTTTTTAAAAATATTTGCCAATTTTTAATAATTTGGATGGATACAGATATATATTTCCCAGTACACTGAGTCCGCTGCAATCTTTTGATCAGGGGCAAACCAACAAATGACTTTATGGCATATTTTATATTTGATTAGATATCAACCTTGGTAGTGGACCAGGAGCTATGACAACAAACCTCCCGTTCACTTAAAAAAGATTCAGTTTTAGTTACCATTTTTTTTTTCTAACCATGTGGCTAAATTTTGGAAATTAAGATTATTTACAGGATTAAAATTTAGCAAGTACATACTTTATTACAGAAAGCAAGATATCTTTTACAGCAGCCTAAGGTTTAAAGAAAGAAGATGCCACACCATCCATTTGGTGGGGGAAAGAGCAGGTAACCTAGAAGCAACATCTTACCTCCGCAGCTTCATTCATCTTTACGATCATGGCACTCACAACATCATCTGCATCACTAATAAAAGTGCCCCCATCTCGATTCCGTCTGCGTTTGCCACACATGCTCTTTTTCCGTTGTAACATCATCTCAAAATCCGACAGGAAGTCCATACTAGGCAGAAACACAAAATCAAGCTCTTTAATCACTCACCTTTAATTACAACTGAGAACACCAAATTGTCTAGTCTTCAGTCAAAGAAGTGCTATTTTGTTTTTTTTTTTTGTTGTTGTTTTTTTTTTTTTGAGACAGTTTCTCTACATAGCCCTGGCTATCCTAGAATGCACTCTGTAGAGCAGGCTGGCCTCAAACTCACAGATCCACCTGCCTCTGCCTCCCGAGGGCTGGGACTAAAGGCGTGCGCCACCATGCCTGGCGAAGTGCTACTTTTTAAAAAAGCTCAAATACGCATAACTTAATACCACAAGAACAGTGAACGAACCTTACACTTTATATCCAATTCCTGTTCTATAATACTGATAAATATGAATCACAAATAGGTCTCAGTTTTCCACACACCACATTCACATCTGTCACCTATTAGCTTGAGAACGAACATTTCAAGTCCTCAGTCAGGAGCATATTCAGTTGAGGTATACTGCTTTTTTAGGAATAGAAAATGTTCGATTATTTGAATATTTTTGTCTTATGAACCATGACTAGAAAAAAAATGGAAAAAAAAATCAACTGCTGCTGTTTAGTAATAAAGAGCACAACTCAAAACAAAGTTGACTATAGGCATGCTAAGTGCCTGACCTTTACAGCCCTTGTTACTTACACTTGATAGGATGTTACCTCATTCTGCCACATGCTAATAAATTCAAACTTCTAAAAGCAGCACCCTGCTTCTTAATTCTTGCACATCACTGAAAGTATTTCATACATTTCTTAAAGTATAAGCTTTACAACTGTGAGCAGTTGTAAAGAATAAATCACCCGGCTGGGCGGTGATGGCGCACGCCTGTAATCCCAGCACTCGGGAGGCAGAGGCAGGTGGATCTCTATGAGTTTAAGGCCAGCCTGGTCTACAGAGCTAGTCCAGGAAAGGCGCAAAGTTACACAGAGAAACCCTGTCTCGAAAAACAAAAAAAACAAAACAAAACAAAAGAATAAATCACCCTACTCATGGCATCATCTTTGTCTGGACATGGTTCACAACTATTTTAACAAAAGTAAGTCAATTATAATTAAAAAAGCATTTTGGTATTAACTTTAGATTTATTTCCCCTGCCACCCAAAATGAACTTTTTCCCCTCCCTGAAAAAATTTTTATATTGTTATTTTTTAGTAGAGTTTATCTTATAAGAAATAAATTAGAAATGTCATATAACCTATAATTTAAGACATCTGAGCATACAGCAAATAACAGCAAACAACTCCCTGACACTATTTGAGGAAGTGAAGGGAAAAAAAACAACACTCTTCCAAGTCTGGAAACCTAGATGAGAAACAGGAAAGCTCAATAGTCTTTACCGTCAAGACCTTTCTGGGGTCGAAATTTCTAAAAACTAACAACAAAAACACTCACTGCTTTCCTCTCTTTATGTTATCATCAGAATCGGAATCTTCCGCTTCTTTTAGCTGTGTTTCACTCTTCTCTTCCTCCAGATCTTCTTGGTTAAACCCCTAAAGGTACAGTAGTGAGTTAGCCCAGTTACCATAACCACCTACAGATCTCCTTCTGCAAACAACTCCCGATTTCTCACATTAAATAATATATCCACAACGGACAACGAGTACTGATTAGGCATCAAAAGGGGTGTAGCAAAAGCTCCCTCCTTAGGCACCAGTGTGGGGAGTTTGCTTGGTTCTCGAAAAGCCCATACTCATGTGAGCACTTTCATGCTTTAGTGTCTCCTTTTAGTATGCAGCGGTCAGCATACTATTCACAGAGAGTAGGAGATACAGTCCTGCACTTTCCAAATTCTATAACCTGAAATACTTTTATTCTTTGTAAGGCTATTTCACTTTGTACTATTTCACTGTAGTATTAGAGAACTGCTACCACAGAACGAAACAATTCAGTTAAAGGAACAGTCTTATACTTACTGTAAATTCCTCTTCCTCTTCATCACCAGATTCTCCAAATATATCTGCAATAAGATTTCTAGAAAACCAAATATAAAAGCACTCATCAGCTTTCTTATATTTGCATATGTACTGTTTTACAAACCAGGTATCATTTATGGGTCGTAAAATGAGCGACCTTAGGCATCAAGTTCAACAGGCTCTAACAAATGTATACACTCATATAACCAGTGCCCTAATGGAAGAAGCCCATTTCCCCACAGCCTTTTCTCATGTAGCACTCAACCCACAGGTGAGGGTGTTTTGTTTTGTTGTTTCAAATAATCTACTGACTGAGCCACACCCCCAGCCCCTTCCAGCCCTTTTAAATGAGCCTCCACCACCAACACCCAGAGATAACACGATCACTGACCCTAGCACCACGAATTCTGCCAGCTCTTAAATGTCATGTATTTGGAGCCATAACACATTCCTTTCAATCCCCTCTAGTCAACATATTATTTGAGACCCACTCATGGTGTAGTGTGTGGTAAAACTTCAGCACTGACCCTGACCCTAACTGAGACCCACTCATGGTGTAGTGTGTGGTAATACTTCAGCACTGAAGTCCTAAAGTCAAAGCCAAGCAGTTAGGCAGCTGAGGTTTTGCACCTCATAAAGCCCCTCTTTACTACTGAAGAGCCCTAGAAACCCCGTTCTCACTTACTCTTCTTCATTGCCTGATTCACTATCGCTCCCAAACAGATCCTTCTCTTCACTCTTCTTTACAGACGATTCTTCTTTCCCCACATCCTCTTCACTGTCAGATGCTACTGTCTTCTCTCTTTTACTTGATTTGTCTGATACAACATCACTATCAGAGTCGTCAGCATCAGAGACAACTCGACTCTTCTTTGCCGCTGTTAGAAAACACAATCATTCACGTTCTTTTGTTATGTGTTACTAATTGTAATGTGCTGTGAAAATGTGAGCACTGGAAAAAAAAATCAAATAGCTAACAACTGGTGTAGCTCAGTAGTAAAGCACTTGCCTAGCAAGCAAAAGGCCCTGGGGTTCTATTCTTGGCTCAAAAACATGTAAAAAGGCACAATGATAGTCATTTTATATATTTTCTGCTACTTTACCTAAGAAGGAGAGGCTAAATGATAAATCATCAATGTAAGTGAGCGTCAGTAAGCACCTTTCCTTTGGGGACTGAGAAAATTTGAATACAGTCTGCTGGGCAGAACGGACATCCTTTCTGTGCTGTGCAGCCTTCAATCTAAACTGTCAATTCCCCATGTTCCTTCTGGTAGTATCAGACTTCTGGGTCAGATGGTGGACCTGAGGCTGCTTCTGTGAAAACCAGTGAAGCCCAGATTTTAAATAAGAAAAAGCCGAGTGTACCTCAACAAGAGAAATAAAAGAAAGCTTGGGAAATCCTTGAAGGTAACGCAGGACTCTGGAAGGAACAGGAACAAAGACAAAGAATACAGAGCAGCCAGCCAAACACTTCCAAAAAGCAAGCTAGATGAAAGCCAGGTAGCCATACCCTCAGGGCAATCTACAGCTCTTATGAGCCCCAAAATCAGTTGGGGTTTATTAAGACAATGATTCTTCCAGAGGAAGAGAACCCATGAATCATAGGGCAACAGCCAGGCATAATCTTCAGAGAATCTTTGTTAAAAACTGAGCTACCCCAGGGGCCTGAAATCAGGAAGACCCATAGGTCTCGGAGTTGCGGTTTGGCTTGCCGCCACCCCTGCTGAGGGAGGGCCCAGAGAGGCAGTGATAGAAAGGAGGGCTGGATCGTAATGGACCAAAGGGTGCAGGCAGCAGAAGGCTGCATCAGGGTAGGAAGTGCATAAGAAAAGACAAGGAACAGATTCATCTGTGAGAGTTGCCCCAGAGTCTGATAGCTCTGAGCTAGAGGCCAGCAGTAGATCCAAATGTGGAACCATTTATCTGTTGTTCCCTGCTTTAGAGTCCAAGAACTTTGAAAGCCAAGAACTTGAGAGCCACAATTGCATCTGTCCAGCAGTGTGATCAGTACTCAGGAGGCCTTAAAAATAGGAACTTGGCCTGGCAGTGGTGAGGCATGCCTTTAATCCCAGAACTAGGGAGGCAGAGGCAAGTGGACCTGAGCTCTGAGTTCGAGGCCAGCCTGATAGAGTTCCAGGACAGTCAGGGCTACGCAGAAACCCTGTCTTGAAAAACAAACAAAAACCATGACAGAAAATGTCAGTGCTGTGGTTGCTTTCTACACTGCCAAGGAACGTAGAGCCTTCCCCATTCCAAGCCAGAACAGGCAGCCAATCTAGGTGGAACGTTTGGAGAGTCTGGTGAGCATTGAGAACCTGCCCAGTCCACAGACTATGTGGTATGCCAAGCTCAGTGTGGCCAATCAGAGGCTCTGATAAACCAAAATGAAAAACTGAAGATAACTTTGGCAGACATCAGATACCCAGACAAATCACAGAACACAGAAAACACACACACACACACACACACACACACACACACACACACACACACACACACACACCATAAACTAAGTTCAACTGACCCTCTCCTGTTCACAGAAGTGGCAATCTTCAATTTTTAAGGAGCCATAAAAAAAACTATGCCCATATGGCATCTTTTTTCATGTAATTTTTTTCTCCTCCACATTTAAGCAGGATTTTTTATTGTATTGAATTTTTAATTTCAGTTATTCTCCTTTACATATTCATTTAATTTGTTTATGCATTTTTATCACCACTGTTGAACAGCATTTCTTCTTCTCCTTAGTTTCCTATTTTTCCGCTTGGCCCCTGTGTCTCAGCCTTCCCTTACCCCATCAGGAGTAGTGCTCTGGCTTTACCTCGCTGGCTTACACAAACAAACAAACAAGAAAATCCAACACCCTTTAAAATTCCCATTCTTCCATTGATCTCAGTTTGTTTTGAACGTTCTCACTACTGAAGCATTTGTTTTGTCTTCAGCGTCGTCTATTATGCCTTCCCTCACCTCACTGACTCCCTCCACACTCGCCCTAGGGAGTTTCCCATTCACAGACCCTCCGCCCACTGGTGTATTAGGTGCAATGGCTAATCTCAAGCCTCTCTCTAGATCTCATGTGGTCTGATGATGTCACTGCTACAGCAGTCCGTCCCCTTCTCACTCACTGATACAGGACTGAGCCTTCAAGAGTAGACTGTTCAGTAAAATGACTGCCGTCCATAGACTAAGAAAGATATCCAAACCAATAAGTCCGTAAATCACCACAGAAATACAATACACATACTGAAGCAGCTAAAATGCCCGACAAAACTTTCAAAACTTTTCTGGTAAAAATGATCAATAACCTGAAAGGATACAGAGCAGATAAATTAAATCTACTCCCAGAGAGCTGAGTCAGCAACACACAGGAGAAAAAGTCTACAAAATAGATGAGAAATCTGAATGGAAAAAGCAATACAGAAGAAAAAGCAAGAAAACTTGAGATTTTAGGTGTGTGTAAGGGGGGATGTTAGAAACACAAACTCAGTGAATCAAATAATATGATGGTGTGTACAGTGTTTTCTCGTCTAACAACTGTCATTATAGAGGAATGTATTTCTTTATCTAAAGACAAGTTGCATAAAAAGGTATTAAGTAAAAAGTGTTACTTGTAAAAATGGAGTCTGGGGTAGCAAAGTTATGGTCTCTAAACAGAATCCCTCCAAACCCTCCTGTATGTGGGTATTCAACAAGGTTTAACATTTAACAAAGACAAGGACTTCTGAAGCTCATTTCCTGTCCAAGGGAAATGTGAATTAGCAGTCACAGAGAACCCCAGCTCAGAACTATTTTCTTCAGTGGTGGAGCCACTGGTAAGGTACGTGACTTCTGTAAAGTAAACCCAATAAAACTCATTTGATTATAAAAACAGGACAAAAACAAAAAATGTCCATAAGAAGGTATGAGGGAGCAGTGGGAGTGGGACAAGACAGGATAAACGAGGTTAAGTGTGATTAATATACTGTATACTTGTATGTGAAAAGGCCAGGATGAAATTAGCATTACAACTGATATACGCTAATAAAATATACCAGAAAAGGGTCCAACATTTCAGTTACAAACACAGACAACAAGGACAGCTATGGCCCGCTGTAACTCCTTACATGCTTTTTCTTCGTCCTCACTATCAGAGAGCACGGCAGCCTTCCGCTTTGCCACTTTCTCCTCGTCCCCCTCCTTCTCCTCATCTTCATCACTGTCCATTTTCTGCCTTTTCGGTTCCTCCTCCTCACTGTCTGAGCTGTGGAGTCTTTTTCTGTCTGTATGGCCCTCTGACTCATTCTGCATTCCCGAATCTTCCCTCTTATTCTCTCCATCACTGTCATCTGACTCGGGCTTGTCTTTGTGTCTGGAGGCATCCTCAGCTTCCGAATCACTAGCAGGTCCTTTCTGAGGCTCCTCGCTTTCCGAGTCGCTGACTCGGGGTTTGGGAAGCTCCTCACTTTCTGAGTCACTGGCCTGTGGCCTTGGAGGATCCTCGCTTTCCGAGTCACTGACTCGGGGTTTGGGAAGCTCCTCACTTTCCGAGTCACTGGCCTGTGGCCTTGGAGGATCCTCACTTTCCGAGTCGCTGACTCGGGGTTTGGGAAGCTCCTCGCTTTCTGAGTCACTGGCCTGTGGCCTTGAAGGATCCTCGCTTTCTGAGTCACTGATCCGAGGTTTGGGAGGCTCCTCATTTTCTGAGTCACTGGCCTGGGGTCTTGGGGGATCTTCGCTGTCAGACTCGCTGACCTGAGGCTGCAGAGTGTCCTCGGCTTCAGAGTCACTGGCAGCAGGTTTTCTAACCTCTTCCTTTTCGGAGTCACTTGCATGCCCATTAAGAAGCTCTTCGTTTTCAGAGTCGCTCCCATGCTGGTTGACATCTTCGTTTTCAGAATCACTGGCAGGAGACTCTGCATGCTCCTCAGATTCAGAGTCACTGTCCTTTGGCCTGTGAAGTTCCTCACTTTCCGAGTCACTGGCATTAAGATTGGAGGGCTTATCATTCTCAGAGTCTGTTCCATTATGTCTCTTGTTCAAGCCATCTTCTCGGTCACTAGTTTCATTCTGAAAACAAGGAAAAATTAGCACTGTCAAAAAAAAAGTAGTGCAACCTTAAAATTCTTCAGCAGTTTTTTTAAAATGTAGGAATATGTGTATACTTAAAGAAGATTGTTCATCCTATACAATAAAGAAACATCACTTTAACCTAAGGCCAGTCTGTGAAATGGATTGTCATAGTCTGATTCCCAAAGAGAAGTATAACCAAATCTGTAAAGCATACTCCTATATGGAGAGGCCTCTATTTTTAAAAACAGCCTTAACTCCTCATATAATTCTAGTTACCCATAGAAATATAAGCAAACATACAACCAAGTTTTTCACAAAGGTATAATCCCGAGTTTATAAAATTAGCATTATTTTAAGGAAAAAAGCTTTAATATAAAAACTTTAATTATTCAAATAGTCAAACAGAATATATTCATTCACCCATGAAAATCTCAACAAACTAAAAGCCAGCATTATACCTGGCTGTTTCCTGTTGGTTCACTTTTTCTTCATAACAAGAAAACAGGCTTCCTTGTAAACAGAGGATGTGGTGTACACCTGTCAGCACTCAGGAGGCTGAGGCAGGACAGATATGAGCTTGAGGCCTGCCTGGGCTATAAAGTAAGAGACCCTGTGTCCAAAAAAAAAAAAAAAAAAAAGAGCGGGGGCAGGGATGAGAAGGAATGGTAGAGAGGAAGGAATATGGGGAATATGGGGAGGGATAACTAATACTTAAGGCTTTTTGAAAAAGTCATATGGGGGCTGGAGAGATGGCTCAGAGGTTAAGAGCACTGCTTGTTCTTCCAAAGGTCCTGAGTTCAATTCCCAGCAACCACATGGTGGCTCACAACCATCTGTAATGAGATCTAGTGTCTTCTTCTGGCTTGCAGGGATATGTGCAGACATAACACTGTATACATAATAAATAAATAGATCTTAAAACAAGAAAAAGTCATATGGAAACCTATTACTGTAGAAGCTTCCTAGAATATATAGACATATAAAGAAGAGTTTAAATGGAACTAGTATATAACAGTGTGACAATACACTAACTGGATACCACATGCTACCAAATAAAAACCCAGTACCAAGAACAGGATTTCTTTTTGAATAACTCTTTCAAAATAAAGTCCAAGCCAGCCATGGTGGAACAAACTTGAAACCCCAGAATTAAGGGGTAAAGGAGAGCCACACATTCAAGGCTAGTCAGGGATATACAGTGAAGAATAGGCTAGCCAGGGCTACATAGCAAGACTTCAGAGACACAAACAATATATTAGTTACTTCTCTTCTGTTGTGATTCCAGCACCGTCATCTTCAGCAGGCATGCATGCAAGGTACTGGAGCAGCACCCGAGTGCTCACATCTCTGCCCACAAACAGGAAGCAAAGAGCTCTAATTCAAAATGGCACCAGACTTATGAAGCCTCAAAACCTACCCCCAGTGACATACTACCTCCAAGAAGGCCATACTGTCTACTTCTTCCCAAATAGCCACCAACTGAGCACCAAGTGTTGAAGAGAGTTATAGTGGATCACCAAAGTCAAACCACAATAGACGCAGAGAGAAACAAGGTTCAAGTTACAAACGTGATATATACATCATATAAAAATGATGAAAAGATAAAAATTAAACATGCCAAAAACAAGTATTTTAAGATTTATAGTCTAGAACCTCAATTTTATTTTTAGAACCTCAATTTCCAATAAAATATTCTGTCCTAAAAAGTGTAAGGAGAAGCTCAGTAGCATGGCTCAATGGGAAGGTCACTTGCTACCAAGCCTAGTAACTCTGAGTTTGGTCCCCAGAATCCACATGGTAGGAGAGAAATGACTTCTCCAAGTTGTCCTCTTGTCCTCTAACCTACAGATACCTACCTACACACACACACACACACACACACACACACACACACACACACACACACACACACACACCCCAAAATCCCCCAAAAGAGGTAAGAGAGCTAGGTCTTAAAGTGTACAGATGTAGCAGTTGGTACCACAGGACATTAACTCAAGATTAACATGCTACAGGTTATTTCAAAACAGAGATAATTGGGTCTTTCCCTGAAGTACCATCAATAGTGTGACATGGCTCTAACTACTAAGCCCTAAACTTCAACGTAAAAAAACAAAAACAAAAACAAAAAGCCCAAATTTTAGTTGTGTATGGTGGCATGTACCTTTAATTACAGAATTCAGGAAGCAGAGGTAGGTGGTTAGTTTGAGGCCATCTAGGGCTACATATTGAGATTTGGGAGGGAAAATAAATAAATAAATAAAAAGCCTAAAATTTAAATACCTCAGAGCGACAAGCTAACTGGCCCAAGGAAGTTGGATGTGACTTAACTCACAGCGGTTAACAGGCAACACAGAAGCACTAGGAGACAACATGAGCGGGTAGCCCTCCCAGAGTATATCTGCTACCCTCTAGCCTAGATTTCCTAACACATGGGATATGCACTGCAAAATAAGCAACTATTTTTTTTATTTATTTATTTTTTAAATTACACTCATGATATTAATCACATTTGTGGTATTCATAGATTACATTCGCAGTATTCATTCAATTATATATATATATATATATATATA